AAAAAAAAAAAAACGAGAAATGTTTGATTTCACAACCTATAGCTTCGGATACTAGCGTATGAAACGTAATTTAAAAGAAATTAATGGTCATTATAACTAATTTCAAACGACATAAATCAAAGCGCGATTTTGCAGGAATTGTAATTGTCCCTTTTGTTCCATTTCTATGTTTTTGGAAGGTGTTTGTGTTTGTCTTCTGTCCAGGAAGAAGACCGATTGGTTCCTGCAGTCTAATTGATTATAATTCATTATAAATAACACAGCGATTAAATGTTTAGTTCATTAAATTGTTATATTTGTTGTAATTGTTGCAAAATCATTTTAATTATTAACATAAAGAAAATAAGTTAGGTAGGCTATAGCTGACCATATAATTTGTTCACATGACAACTGTCTTACTAGTTGCGTTCACATCATGTTGTAATTTCTAGATGACAACACGTGACATTCGACTAAGAGCTCCCTTGATCTCAAGAGATACACTAGTGACTGATGCAAGAGGCTGCGGTCTTCAGCATCCTTGTTAATGCCCCCGCCTCCCGTGCTGGGAAAGCTGGTTCGAATCCTGCTCGGAGCGAATGAGGGGAGTAGAACTGGAGGAGTTACACTCACAGAGCCTCACATGTTGTAAACTTGAAATTATGACAATGCAGCTACTGTCTCACAACAGAGATATTCACCTCAGTGAATAAAGTATACACATACTTTTGAGGTTTATAGACCTCCTATTTCGTGTGTCATGATTTTATTCATGTTGTTTTCTTAAAATGATTCACTTGTGTGCTTTTTTCTGAGCACGCTGACTCAAGCTGCCGTGCACTCTTAGTAATAGTTTACATTTTACTTTTTTCTTGGCAAAACCTATATGCCTTCAGAACCCTTAGACAAGTTGCATGGGATTAAAAGAACATCAGGTTGACTAATTATTTACTGAATTTAGCTACACTATAGACAAGTTGTGAAGAGGTAAATAAACTACAAACTATAGTAAGAGAGAGAGAGAGAGAGAGAGAGAACAAAATAAGGGTTACAAAAGTCAAAGAGCACATAGCTGGTGTGTTGCCGACCCATACCTGGAATTTGCTTAGGGCCCCCAAATCACTAAGTCTGCCCCTGGCTGTCAGTTACAGAGAATGACAACGACTGTTCTCATACACGTGAATTCACAATGCCAGCATTGTTCAGTGTGACAGTCTGCTGTACAGTTCACGTTGTTGATTGGTGATTTAGCAGACGGAGCAATGGCAGACACAATCACAATAAAATGTTTTGCCAGGATGAAACCGCCTGATCTGTGTGTAACAGCACTGTGTATGTACAGTAGTATAACCTGGTAAATGTTCGCTCAGGGTTACAAACATGTTTTTCATGGCTCCACTATATCATATTTAATCGAATCTGTAATTTATAGCACCAAAAATGACAGGTCCAGTTTTATATTAAGTGGCTTTAACTACTGTACTGACATTTAAATGAATAATTTGGTAAAATGCACTTATTGTGTACGTAAATGCTTTTACATTGTCCTTATATTTTTAAAAATAACTGCATGTAATTACATCTGTAATTAATTTCTGTAATTACATTTGACCCATCCCACCAAACCTATCCCTAAACTTACCCATATCCCACCTTAATAGCATCAGAAGTGTTTTGCAATGCATTATAATATGAACACAACAACTACAATTTTTTGATGTGAGTACACTAAGGCCTAATATAAAGTGGGGGACCAAATGACACACTACAGTATAAGACACAAGTTGGTCTTTTATAAATGACCACATACTGTAAAATGTATGTAGGCCTTATAGATGAATGTTAACTAAATTGACAGAGGGGCAGGTATGTTTCTCCAGTAATGGTGCAACATGCTTATAGAACATGCTTATTGTGCTTTGTTCGAAATGAAAATGAAATGAATCCCATCAATGTTTAGTTAGGTTCAAATATGGGTCTCTAATTTAGGCACATGACCTACATCCAAACCAGTGTGATGCAGGCCAAAAACGTGAGAACCAGGGTGCCTTTGAGAACAGTTGATGCGGTGTTCTGACGGGCAAACCCTCGATGGCTCCAAGCCTATCAGTCGAGTGTACTGTAGAGAAGAGGATCTTCTCTGGAGGGAAGTAAACAGCAGTCACGGTGCGCTCCTCCTCCTCTCCATGTGCTTCCCCCACGGCTCTCCTCCCCCTCACCAGAGCGGCGCTCATTTGCATAAAATGTGTGTCAGTAGGGCAGCGCTCACATGCAGCGCGCGCATGCAGAAGTCATTCCGATGGCAAACGAGTCCACGCGCAGTCACCTGCCACTGAGAGCAGAGAGGAGGAGGAGGCAAGAGGAAGGAAGATCAAGCAGCTCTACTACAGCAGCGTGACTGGAAAGGAAAGAAGGAGGGCGTGTGAAACGGAGCAACAGTTCTTGGCATAGCTACAATAACCCAAACAATTGAAAGGGCAAAGAAAGGAGGGGGAACTCGTGGGGGGAAAGCTCAGTCACATTTTTAAGACACCTGAAAACGTGCCCGGTGTTTAGTGTGAGGCTTGTTACACAGCTCTGCCTTGGAGAACGATGCCAGTGCACTGGCTCTGACTGTTTTGAAGAAAAGAGCTACTGTAATGCACGCGACACAGTCTTCAAGGACATCTTTCAAAGAGTGAGGACGGCACATTGCCCTGCTTACCTGAAGGACGTCTGGCATTAGTGTCGCTTCTTCCTCGAGACATTGCCTAACAGACTTCTTGAAGTTCTTACCTGTACGGACGGAATTTGAAACACAGACCCGACTCCGATACCTGCATTTCCTTCATCAACACCAGGAACAGGCACCATGGACGGCAGTCCAGGTGAGTTAAAAACAATGTATTGTCTATAAACACGAATGAATGCAGGTAAATGATTTGCACGGATGATAGTAATGTTTCATTCACCCGTTTGGCTGTTTTAGCCAACTTTGTCATTTATTTGAATATCTTGTTTAACGTTAGAAAACGGTGGCACGGATATATATTGGTACTGACTTTGAATATAAAATAAATACATGTACTGTCAAGATTTGTAATTAAATTACATTATACGTTGACATGTTTATCATTTTACACACACACACACAATGCTTTTTAGCATCTGCACACTGCAATGAATGTCAAATACATTTTTGGACTATATCGCAAACGGACTACCACGTTTTGGCAAATATTTCCGGTCTCGCGTTGCACGTAAACAAACTCACGTGCAGCTCGCTCTGCTCTGCTCACGCACTCTTCCCGGTAGACTGTACGGTGAGCGTGATTTGACCAAGTACAACATGTTCCTGGAACATCATTCCAATCAACCAATCAGAATTGAGGGATAACTTTTCAGGAAATGTCAGTTTTAGGTTTACGATCAGGATTAGGTGCTTCTACACTCTTGTTAACCAGCTATTATTTCACACTGATTTTAGGAATAAATTATGGGTTAGGTTTAGGGGTGGGATTGGGTTACGTCTGTATTTTTGGAAGGTAATGTTGATCCAGGAACATGTCTTGCTTGGCAAAATCAGGGCGACCAGACTGTACATCATGACGCATCATCCTCATAAATGAATCGAGAATTGGTTCACGGCGTGACCTCCAACCCAGCGACTTGTTGCTAAAAATCAATTTGCAGTCATAAAAAAAGAAAAGCTATCCAGCCTCATTCTTTTCCGTTTCGTTAGTGATTTAACACCCGTCTCCAGTAGCTATGGGGGTGGGTAAAATCCAAACCCAACCTTGGCTACTGTAAGGTTTTTGTTTTCGACCAGGTTACTGTCATTCATAAACCAAGTCACGCTTGATGACTGACTGTCATCATCTATAGCGCTCCTCCTGTACATTCCTGTACATTTACTCCAACACGTGCTCAAAGTGTAGCTCAATAACTGCTCATGAACATGTGAGAAGATCAGGAAACACAGTCAACATTTATGGCGCAGCTGGCAATAAACCACTGTTTTGTTTACTATCATCACATGGCATTCCTTATGAGCCAATAACATGTTTTTTAGATGGCTAATCTTAAATTATTTATTATAAAGCTCTTAGACATTTGTATTTTTAATAAGTCTGAATGTAAAGTATCCAACTTATAATAAGCTTTGGCAGCAAGTATAATAACGATACATGCATAGTAACTCAGTAGGCTCTAAATTACAAGATTAATATACAATTTCTTGTATGTGATCACAGGCTACAATTTGCTGAAAGGTTCAACCATCATTTAAATCTAAAATATGAACATCTCTGGAAACACATAGCTAGCTGTGTTGGCCATGTCATATCCAGTATGTTTTTTGTGAATCTGGTGCCGGGGATTTCTTAGAAAGCGCTCAGTTTGCCACCTGCATGGTGTTGTCAGGCGCAGTGGTATTCATACAGACAGACTTTCGCTTTCACCGTCACGAGGATCGACTCCGAGCTCCACGTGCCACGCGTGATTTCCCAGGCACACAGCCCCTCCTTGCTTGTGTTTTTGTTCCGGCAGCCCGTGTCTCATGCAGCCTCTGAAGGGAGGGAGGCTGGTCACTGGGTCAAAGTCAAAGAGGCACAGATCTGAGCTCAGATCTTTCTTCTCTGCCTGCATGATCTCTGTTTAACTCTTTAACACACTGTTATGTGATAGAAGATGCTCCTTTTAAGGCCATGAATGGCTCGTATGTACTATATAAAAATATTTTTCTAAGTTGTAAAAATACACGAAAATACTATTTGACATCTAATGACATGTTTAATTCAGTGCGTTACTTGTAATTCTTGTAACACTAAATCTGATAGTGTTCCTTAATTCTTAATTGCATTATGCACACTTTTAAGGGATCCTGTTAAAAATAAATGAACTATATTACAAAGTAAAGGATAATATAATAGTTGTTCATTTTTGGAAGGTGCATAAGTTATACTGCACGTGTGTGTTGGCTCCTATAGAAGATAGCAACATTGACCTACTTTTCAGCAGCAGCACATGTCTGAGGGCATCCAGCTCTACGAACAAACCTTGAAACAAGAAATCAAAGCCTCCCAACTGAGAAAGCTCACCTGCCAAAACCAGTGAAAATGGAATTTACTTAAAGGGATAGTTCACCCAAAAATGAACATTCTGTCATTATCACCCCCATGCTGTTTCAAACTGTATAACATTCTTTTTTTCACACACAAAAGAAGATATTGTGTATTATGTATTTGTACTTTTTGTTACCATTTACGTCCTTTATATGCAAGAGACATTTCTCAAAATATCAAAATAATTGATATTCCACAGTAGGAAAAAAATCCTACTAAAATATATATATTTAAAATATAGTTCAGTCAGACTAATTTTGGAAATTATTTTAATGTTTATGATTTTTCTATAATTTGCTATAATTAATTATATAATTAGCTCTTTTTTGCTGGTATGACCAGAGGCCATCGTATGATTGGCTGAGGTGCCTCACATGATCCATGTTAGCGGTTATAATTTTCCCAATGGTAATTGACCCTCGCATCTCCCAATAATAAGACGATCTCTGTTTCTAGGGATCCTGAAGACCTTGATTAGCTTGTTAAAGTGTGTCTGATTAGGCTTGGAGCTAAACTCTGCAGGAAAGTGGACCTCGAGAGCCAGAGTTGAGGACCCTTGCAATACAACATATAGGCTACTAAACATAGATAGGCCTACGTTTACACTATTCTGATTTAAATCCATCCACAAAGTGATTATACTAAAAAATTAACTTGCATATCAACTGGATATTGTATCCATGTCTACATCTGTCCGTTATCATTATTGCTTTTGAGTGGGAGGTTTGTTTTCCCTCATGGCAGCTGCAAAAGGGCAAATCCAGACAAAAACGACTGAAATTCAATAACCCGTTCATTTATTCACTCTTTGAGTCACTCATCACCCATGTGCATGTGAGACACATTACACTAAAGCAAAGGTTTAGTATGTCGTGGTGTTTAGGGAAATTATTATGTCTGCCTGTATCCTTTTAAAATGCCACAACGGTCGTTAATTCAGGTGGAATTAAATTGGGAAGGATAGTTAATGTAGCCTAATCTATATTCCAAGCCATTTGTGAGGCATCACGTTATAAGCAAGTGAGATGAGGCGAAATGTGTTGGGTTTAAAAAAAGCAGGCAAACACAAAACAAGCTCGTATGTCGAGTAAACGTGACCGTTCATGCACTCCGGTTTCCGGTGACTCGAGTATTCTAAACACGCGCGCATAAATATGGCCTTGGTTACTGTTTTTATGTCCTCTTCAAACGTGAGCAGCAGGCTGGCAAGTTTGTGCCTTTTTTTTTCTCTCGTACTGTGGCTGCTCTAGACACGGGACTGCGGAAAGAGGCTTGTGCTTTGGGGCGTTCACTATGTCAGGAGCGCATGTGAGTCGGCGGTCAGGTGGCTGGCAGCTCTGGAGGAGCGAGCAGCGCGCGTGGGAGTTCTCAGATCCGTGTTTATGATTCGCAAACAAATTGTTCTTTGGAGTCGGTTCTTTATAAAGATTCGGTTTAACTGACTTGGGAAGGGTTTTTTTTTTTTTTTGAATGCTTGAAAGAACATACAAAATACCAAGTAAACAACAGTAAGAAAAATCTTAATACAATTCAAGAAGTCCAAATAGCAGCATAACAAAAAAATACATAGATAACCAAAATAAACATAACTAGAAAATGAAAAAAAGAAAAATAAGTACATAAATACATAAAATACAATACAAAGGGCTTAATCATCAAAAAAATATCTTCGAAAGATTACATAGTTTAAAGGCTTTTTTTATGACGCATGAGTTTTAAGGATTTGAAGAAGACCGTTAAATCTTTCTGGACAAGTAAGAAAGTGGGGGTGACTCGGGAAGGTTAATAAGAGTAATAGTTTGAGCTGTAGGAACGAACTTTGCAACTGCACAAACACGATGGAGACTTTCTGACGCAAGGAAAACGCATTAGAAAGGTGGCAGCACTGAGCTGACAAAAAAAAACGACATTTAAAAAGCTCAAATATAAAAGGTAATTCAGAACATAATAAAAATCAGGAATTGAACTAACACACAACTTGTGAAATTCAGCATGCATTTCCTTGAAACACGTTTTGGAGACGCAACTCAAACGGATCGAATCACTGAAGTGAACCGACTCGCTGAAATAAATCCGATTCCTCAACGATGCACTTGCACACGTGAGTCAGTCTGGCTCATCCTGGCTCATTTCTCTCACACTGGCTTCCAGAGGCTCGGTTAGAAGCATGTGATTCATGGAGACGGATGAGCTGACAGACTGGGAGCAGCACAGGATTCAAACATGTGGGACATTTCCGAGTTTACATATATAGAAATGAGTGTCCTGGAAGCTTTTTTTAAACATTCTACTGGTCTGGTGTGGGGGGAAAAGCCTCAAATAAATGACAGATTTGAGGAATTCTGTAGAATGAATTTAAACATGCAAAATTTGTAAAACTGAATGACTGCACATTCTTATTGGTGGTTGAAATTAGTCACAATACTTGTGTAAGGTGCAGGGGATATGAAGAAAACTGTAAGTTAATGCTTTCCAATTCTGTTAAAGTGAATTCCGCTGTTGCCCCTACAGAGCAATTGACCCTTCGTAAAAACTCTCCCTCCTTAGTTACTGTCGCTATGTCCGACAAGCCATGCCACTCTCACACTACACGTCATGTTCTAACGCAGTAAAAAATACATTGCGGAGCAAAAAGGAAACTGACAACATGCCGACAGACAGAGCAGGTTATTTTGGTATGAAACAAGGTCTCAGCTTTCAAATTTTGTCTTTTTTTTTTTTTAAGAAATTCAAACAATAAATACCATTTTGTGGCTCTTTAATGTGTCGTGACATATCACTGTATTACCTCAGTTCAAGCGGCATGTGAACCGATCGTCTTTTCATATTTACTTAGAGCATGAAATAAACACGAATGAACATCAGAACGTATTTTATTTAAACCGCGGAAAGACATCAATATACAACATTTTTCAAGTTTAAGTCCACCAAAGTTACAGTTTCACAATTACAGAAACTTGTTATTGGCAATACATTATGCAGACTAGCTGCTGTGAGCATGTAGCTATGCTGTGCAAATAGCATACATGAAATCTAGACAGGTGGAGCTAGGGGAAGTGGAGGGTTACTGAGGAGCGAACTTACAGTGAACACCGAACCAGACTTTTTAAATGTTGAGTAAGCAATCTCATTGGCTGCTGATGTACCAGAGACCAATCTGGTTGTGCATGTAGTGAACAATTTAATTACTAGCAGATTGCATTAAGGATGTATCAGTCTGCACCATCTGGAGTTTCATGACAGAGCTAGATATAAATTATAAGACCAACTTCCCTTAATTTAACATTCTTTGTTTTCCCTCCTTTTCCTTCACACACAGGTGGAGGAGTGATCCTCTATGCAGGCTCAACTGGAAGCGCCAGCCCCAGTCCAGGAAGCCCATCCAGTGGATACCAAACCCAATCTCCAGCCTCTCAACCCTCATCCCCGGAGGAGGTCTCTTTCACTGAGTTTGGTGACCTTAATAAACATCCAACTGGAAGCAATGCCAGTTCTGCAGGGGGCAACAGACTGGTTTTCCAGTTTCCAGAAGTAAGCAGTGCTACCACTGTCAACCCTGTTACACCGATGGTAACATCATCAGGGCAAAACACCTACTCTCACCCAGTAGTCGGCAGGCGACCAAGTATGTTCACGGGTACCTTTACCAGTGAGTATTATCAGTCATTTTTGATATTGTCTCAAATTTGGTGACCATCGTCCACTGCTAACTTACTGTTGACAATTTGTGTTACTAGAAACAGGAGGTATGGTGTTGCTCTGCAAAGTATGTGGGGATATTGCATCAGGATTTCACTATGGTGTCCATGCATGTGAGGGATGCAAGGTGAGAACAGACACATACACACTCACATGCACATAAAAAACCCTCAAAATGCGTAACTGATGTGTTTAGTGTCAGTCTGAGACTAAAGCCACACACACACACCTACAGAAACACACACATTCACTCTAATCTTGTGTTGTCCTCAGGGTTTCTTCCGCCGCAGTATCCAGCAGAACATCCATTATAAGATGTGTGTGAAGAATGAAAACTGTCTGATCATGAGGATGAACCGCAATCGCTGTCAGCACTGTCGATTTAAGAAGTGCCTCTCTGTCGGCATGTCCAGAGATGGTATGAGCTTTAAACATAGTTATTTACAGTGTTTGCTAGGGGAAATATCAGTATTGCTACAAATACTTAAGTGTTAAGAATGTTGCTGGGTTGGTAAACAACCACCTAGCAATGTTCTAGTAACCTCCCAGTACACCCTAGTAACTGCACGTTTCTAAGCAGTTAGAGCAGAATATTGACTGGTTGGACTTAAGCCAGTAAGAACCCACTTAACAACCACATGCAGCACCCTAGCAACTGCTCAGCAACATGATAAAAATGCTCAGTACAAATCAGCAACTTCATAATGCAAAGTTTCGCTTTGAAAATCCAGTGATATTTTCCATCAGAATCTGCAAATCTGGGGTTTCGAGTAAGGGCAAAACAATTTCCCCATGCAGATTTTGCAACAGGTTCAAGTTTGTTACACAAATTTGATACTTTAACCAACAGAAAGCTGCTTGTTTGATGCATCGCTGCTGTATTGACAATGGACAATGAGTCTTTTTTGCCTGCAAATTTTGCTAATATGACCTCACCACTACAGTATATTTAAAAAATACCTTTATATTTCCTCAACCCTATATCCACCATCTGTTCTGTGCTGTTTGCACCTATAGCTTACACCCCATTCTGACAGTTTCCTTTCACCGCTGATTTATTAGTGTGGGCTCTCCGAAATCCCACAAGTCATCACTCACTGTAAAAACTGCAGCAAATCAGGTTAATTTGGGGAATTGGGGACACAGATGGCCCGAACTCCTAGTACACTGCAGTTTAATGTGTTTCCAGGTCTTCCTTTGCTGTATTGCAGGATTAATTAAGATCCAAATGCTAGCTGGGATTTAATAAAGTGCTTTGTCGATGTAACGCAGAAGCTAAGAGACCTTTATTTCAATTGAATGCAATGCATAAACATTCTAAAATATCTTTTCGATCTGTCCTCTAGCACACTTTGCCCATACAGGACAGTATTGTCTCTGGGGAGCTTTGTAAACTGGGCTGATAATAAATCATATTTTCTGGGGCTAGTGTACATATTTAGGTGACCTAAAAAGCGGGAAAGTAAAGTGATAAGCACCATCATATTTCAACGTCACATGATGTATTTGACCTGGTTTTCCTCCCCAGTAGTCAGTCACACTGTAATTACACTAGATTTTGAATTTATTTGGAAGTTTATGAATGTATGAATAACTTTTGTGGGTTTTAACTTTTCAGGCTATTGTAATGTTGTAGTGCCCTCAAATGCAAAAAACATAGCTAATACTCTATATCGCTGACTATATGATAGATGCTAATCTCCCTCCATTATATTATGTCATTGCATTTGTCACCTGAAACCTTGACGTCTCTCCTTACACTGACCCACGCCTTCACGTGATGGTGCTATATGACACCTCTAAACACAAAAAGCCTTCAACTCATTATTATATTATAGACCTAAAGACCTAGTTTTGCATTGGTGCTTGTCTTAGCAGTTTTAACCTAACCTTTCTTGCTGAAGGCACCTCCCATTGCTCAACACTTACTTGCTCCTTATCAGACCAGTTTATCATATCATGTTCCTCTGCCATACAATGTTTCAGCGCTTAACTATTCTAATGTGACCCTCAGTGGCATCACCTCTGCTTGGGTGACCCACTGACCCACTTCCCAATGGATAGAGACACCGAGAGAGG